CTCTAAATTAATTATTTGATTTGACCTTTAATTGTATAATTTCTTTTACAGGCTGTCAGAATTGAGCACTGTGAACGTGTTCACGTGATTGCAGCAGCTAAACGTATTTGTATTGCCAATTGTCGTGAATGCATATTCTTCTTGGGAGTTAACCAAACACCACTTCTTGTTGGTGATAACCATAAATTGCAAGTATGTCACTTTTGTGCTGCTGATCAAAAGTTCAGCTTACTCCTTGGATCTCCAAAATCCTTATTTGACTCATACATGCATGGTTTGCCATTATCACTCTGCATCAAATGTCATTGCAATCTCATATGGCTTTAGAAGTGAAATTATTCATTCAGCTTTTACCCTTTTCCTTATTTATCTTTCTCAAAGCCCTTCATTGAATACACACAATGAAGATAAGAGGGTGCTAAGTTTATAGGATGGACAATTTTCAGTGCAATTGAGAAGTTTGATAAACTAAGTAAACTTTAGTTGGTACTCTTGGTGCAATTGAGTGCTAGATATGTAACTTTTGGGTTTTGGGACTCTTGGTGTACTTTTTTTCATGTGATAAATGGGATTGTTGGTGTAGTTTATATCACTTAATTGACTGGCATATTGTTTTCCAGTGGCTATGTAATTTGTATCCATCATATATGCTGTGAAATACCTCGTGCTTCTTAAGAAGTAGTGCATTCTCTTTGTAGTAATGTTTATTCTGTCAAGATTGCTTGCCACTTGGTGGCTTTCTTTTCTTCTTAGAATAGTTTGTCAATTATGAACTAAATGTTTTGCTACGTTGACTAGGGCTTGGTAATACATTCCTTTTATAATGTTAATTGGATATAAGAAGTGAAGGTATTCTGCATTTCCTAATAATGTGCATTCTATTTTGTAGTATTTTCTTCATTTAATCGTGCTGGATAGACAGTATATATATGATGTTCGTCTTCTTTTTCTGGGGAAATTTTTGACTTCCCCCCTCCATCTTTTTTTGTTGATTTTTCAGGTGGCTCCATACAATACTTTTTACTCGCTACTGGAGGAACACCTGAAGCAAGTTGGTGTTGACCCAACCATCAATAGATGGGATGCACCTGTAGCACTTGGTGTCGTTGACCCACATGATTCACTGTCACATCCTGCTGGTGTGTCTGAAGTTCAAACGGAGTCTGCTAGTCCTGTGGACCCTGATCAGTTCACTAACTTTTTGGTATGTCTATAGAAGTAGGAACAAGGACCTTAGAGTTCTAACTAATCAATCACTTATGATGTGTTCAGTATGGAGGAAAACAATTTCCAGAGAATGTTTTCCGATCTGTTGTTAAAATATTTTTCTAAATTATATATAAATGTTTTTAGGACAACATTTTTTGCTTATGTACTGAAACAAGAAAATGAGTAAAAACCCACTTATTTTCATAGAGGATATTTTCCTTCATACCAAGCACACCCTTAGTACCCATTCTTTTTCCTAATGTCTTCAGTTCTGGAAAGTGTCTATAGCTGAGCTCTATTATTTGCTAATGGAATATCTGCTCAAGATCTGTTGGTAAAACAATTCTTTTTCTTCACTGGATTCCTTTTAGATGCTAACATGTACGTCTCTAATGGTCACAGATTCCAAACTGGTTTGAAGGGCAGCAATCTGGGTCCACAAAAGATAATCCATTCCCCTTACCGGAAGCTTATTTGGCATCCCAGCAGAGAAATGTGCGTTAAAACTCCAACTTAAACTTGTATCATTTTGCGTCACATTTTGTGCGACTATGATTATTGATCTTCCCTTTATATAGTATAGCCCATACATGTTCAATATTTTTGGTTGAATCATCAAACTTTTGGAAAACCATATTTCATACTTGTTTACCCTTTCAGCTCAAGAACTTGGAGGAGACTAAGAATAGTTTGAAGGACATCGACCTTGACGAGAGCCGGAAGCGGGAAGTAGCAGCTGCTCTCCATGTGTGCTTTAAAGACTGGTTATATGGTAATGGTGACAGTTTATATCTCATTTCTTGATATTTCTGCTTGAACCTTTTGTTCTCAACCCCTGTTCTGCCAATATTTGACAGCTTCAGGAAATATACGGCAACTATACTGTCTTCAAGGCGAATAGTGTTCTGCACGATGTTTCAGCAAATGTAGTAAGGATGGTATTGGTAATTCTCCCCTTCCGTTGTAGATTTCAGTTTCATCCGCCACAGGTTCCTCCCTACCATTTTTGTTGGTGCTGAAAGCAGCCGAGAGTTTGATGGTATCGCAATATTTGGCCATGCAGCTTACAGACAAGTTACCCTCTAAAACTCTTGTGCAGTTTATAACCAGAATGCATCATGACTTGAAACCGTGTTACATTTTTTTTCGAAATTGAACTGTCTTGTACTAATATGGAAGTCAAAATATTTATAGTTTCCAGTTTCCCCTTTTTCTTCGTTCGTCTTACTAGGTTCCGAACTTTAGCTGAGGATTAATCTGTTGTTATTTGCTTTGTCTGGGTTCCTGTATACAAATAAGAGATGCAGAATACCTTGCTGGGTAAATTAGAGAACAGTATTTCATAGAATTGGTGATTGGTTTTTGCTTAGCAGCTAAAAACTCTTTGACACGGGCAGAGCTTCAATTCTATTTACGGGTTCAATAGAGCTCAGTAGCTTTGACTCAAATTTTGTATTTGTGATCTCGTGTTTAAAAGATCCTTTTTAGAATTCGAAACTCATAAATCAAAATTCTAGCTTAGTATCTGTTAACATGTTATATGCACTATGTTACGTATCACCATCCATTTGGAATCAAAGACTTAAAAAGTCAAGGAACATCATTTTGTGGAAAACCATATTACCCATGGGACAATATCCAACATCTTGTTCCATTTTCTTGTATCAAATTCAATGAAGATTCACATGTTCATAGAAACAAAATATAGACCATGGTGGTGAAGTTAGAAAATTCACGGAGGACATTCATTAACTTATATTTTTATGTATAGAGTATAAATATCCAACAAAAAGTGTTCAACTGACTATCCTTCTACGCTATATTACTCAATTTGGTAGACCTTTATGGACATAAAGAATCAATAGATTAATTCTATTATCCATTATCCCAACCAAGGAATTATCCTGTCTGTAATATTGTTACCTTTTAGACAAACAGGATTGAATGTTTTCACACAAACAAAAGAAAAGGCATTTGTTCCTTTGGAATAATCTTAAATTCAATAGTATATGATCCCTATCTTTATTTGATTTTAACCTTTCAGATTACAACAACATATCCAGTGAAATTTCACATATAGGATTTAGGAAAGGTAAAATGTACGCAAACCTTATCACTATCCCATGAAAGTAGAGACCGAAACGATCTTTCAAATTATGTTCTAAATATCTTTTTTGAACAAACAAAAGAATCTTACTTAGTAAATATAGTTTGGGAAAAAAGTGAAACTGGTGCTGGGGTCCCAAAGCTTCAATATTTCACAGTTAATGAAACTTATTTAAACTATTGATTTGACAATATTATATCTTTGAAGAAATTGTTTCATTAAAAAAACGTGACTTTCCTTTAATGAAAGGTCACATCTACTTAAAGACAACTTTTTTAAAAATTTATTTTGTTTCCCACTTTGATGTTCCTGTAGTATGAAGCAGCACTAAAATTGTCTCTGCTATTTATGCATTACGGATTCAAGCCCTGAAATCAATTATTGATGTTTGTGTCTAGTTGACTATCTACATCATACCCCTGTTTCGTACACCATGCTGCCCTTTTTTCATACTTGGTGGCAATACCTACCTACTTTTGGACTTGAATTTCATGATCTTTAGTACCAGAATGTTTTGAGGCTCCACTAATTCTAATTCGTTCCAAAAAATTTTACTTTAAGAGAAAGAGATCTCCCACCAAACGCGACTTTTTTTTCAAGATTCGAACCCAAGACTTCATGTAGTACCCCACCACAACCTTAGATGATAAAGACAAACCTTCACAAAAGATGATCATTCATGAATGAGTGTCTTTATTGGTGAGTTTGCATAAATTCTTTGGTATTAAACCAACTATCTGTAATGAGAACATCTTAATCATCTTGAAAACCTACTTCGTGGGGGTAATCCCACAAGTGGGGTCTGAGGAAGGTAGAGTGTACGCAGACCTTACCCCTACTTCGTAGAGGTGGAGAGACTGTTTCCGAAAGACTCTCAGCACACGTGCAAAAAAATGGCAACATAAACAGGCAAACAAATTAAATCCCCTTTGGCATCTTCTTAAGTACACAAGGACCAGTTTCCTTCAGAAATTTCTTATTATTCAGAAGAAATCGAAATAGTACTAGTATAAGCTAGTATACTGCATTGAACATGTAAGAAGCAAGATGCATTGTGTCTTCAGACTACCTTTTTCCAGTTATGCAAAATCACCACACAAAAAATAACAGAAATAACACGATATCACATGCCATATCCGATGAGCTGAGAAACAAAGACGAGTGATAAACACTAAAGAAGGCAAGATGTGAAATGTCTAAATGCAGAAAGGAGCCATATCTCAAAGAGAGAAAGATCAACATGATATCACTTGTCTCACAAATATTCGTCCCTCAAACGATTTTGACTATACATATACTGAGAAGAACTTTAAATCCACAAGTTCAAGTGCTTTCATGTAAGGTGTAAACCAAATCAAGATCCTTAATTGACAGATTTCAGAAGTATAAAGCAACATCCACATTTCATCTTGTTAGACCGTTTTAAACGAATAATTAGATGTGTCAAAGGATTAAATCAGTCAAAACAAAGCAAATGAGAGTATGATACTGACTCTAACCTCCAATGAGCATGTTCCCTCCATTCAGCAGAGCAACATTGAGCCTTCATGTAGCTTCACTCACCATCTTAGCCGGTCAGTAGGAGTTGTTCCGTTGACAGTTGAAGTAACTACACAAGAGCTAAGTCATGTTTCTAAAGTATTTGCCATTCGATTAATACATCTCAAAGAAAACATAATACAGATTCAAAACCAAAGAAGGGCATCATACATATAAAATCAAAGGCGACAAAGATTAGAGTACACGGGAAAATATTGCTTAGTTTTCCATGACATATGCAAAACAAGGGAACCTGCTAAGTGATTAGCAGCAGCAGCACATTGAAGTCTACTAGAATTTGAACAAAATTCAGTTCTTCACAAAGTTTTAGCTAAATTTCAAAAAAACAAGAAACAATAACAAGGGGTAAAATGAAAAGCAGATATAGATCAGTATAGAATCAGTCCTCAATAGCAAAGAGCTGTTCATCTGCATTCAACGCCAACTTCAGCAGCTCGCCTAGGCTTGTTTTTCCTCCTACTCCCGTTTTGTCTAAATCCAACCGACTTTATTAACTCATTAGAGTTAGTTTTGTTCCCAACACCATTTTCCACTTTCGTCGAATCTACTTCCTTGACTTGTGAAGTTCTCTTCCTCTTCTTTCCATTCACAACACCTTGGTTCTTGACATCTTTATTAAAGACAGAACCTTTTGTATTCTCACTGTCATTTTCTTCTTCTTTCACTTTCATTGCTTCTTCTTCTTCTTCTTCTTCCCCTATTTCATCCTTTGATGGCTTCAGTGGTCTTCCCCTTCTCCGGATTGGTATCTTCTCTTCTTCACCACTTCCGAGATCCTCACGAACAGATTGCTTCTTTCCCTTTCCTCTTCCTCTACCCATTGTACAAAGCTCGAAATTCTGCTGGTGACAACTTCAATAAATCCAAATCTCAGAAGCCTTAAACCAGTATGTGACACTCCAAAAAATAGAAAAATCCTATAAATTATATGAAAACAGCAGATTAGAGTTAGACAGAACCTCACAATTTTAAGGATCAAATATCAACATGAACAGTAAATATAAAAATGTTATCTTTGATTGAGTCTATCCTCAGAACTTAAACTGATATCAAATAAATACAAACAAAAATTTAAGAAATTTTCTTCACAAACAAACAAAACTATGTGTTTCAACTTGACCATTGTTCATACCAGGACAAGAAATACAGATAACGATTCAAACGAAACACGAATCAGTCATAAACTATACAAATACTAGAGCTTAAACAAACTAAATCCAGTGGGCTTTGGAAGATTCAGGACAAAATATGCAACAACAAAAAATAATTTTTTTTCTTAAAGATTAGTTCAAAACACAACTTTCCCATATCCAACATTCATCAGACAACAATAAACACAGATACTTTCAGCCATATCTATAAAAATCAAATCAAGAACATCAACAACACAAGACAGAAACACACAGTAGCTTTTTACATTCAAACTCAAACAGGATGACAAAAAATCTAATGTAACTTTTCAGTACAACAAAACACAACATAACCTCATCCATATCTATAAAAACCAAATCAAGAACATCAACAACACAAGATAAAAACATACAGTACCTTTTTTTACATTCAAACTCAAACAGGATGACAAAAAAATTGAAAATGAAACTTATCAGTACAATAAATCATAAAGATTCAATCTTTTCAAAAACCCCACAAAGAATCTATCATCAAACATCAGTTTAATGATGTTTTTGAAATTAAAACCAAGAGAAACATACCCAAAAAAAATCAAACTTTTCAAGAATCATCCACCATTTTGCATCTTTAAGCAAAACCCCATTTCTTAAAATCTCATAAAACCAATCCAAACAAAAGGAAATCTCAAGACTCTGATGGGTTGAAAAGTGATGAAAGTAGAGAAGCTAAATATTAATTTTATAAGTGATGAAATGAAAGAAGAGTTTTTTTTTACAAGAATGAAAAATATAGGGAGAAAACAGATCAAAATGAAAACTTTAACATGTGAGTGAAGTTTTGAGGAATATGAATCTTTGCCATTAGAGAGTTGAGAGGTGTGATAATAAGCTAAAGGCAGAGAGGCAAAGCCAAAGAAGACTACACAAATGAAAGAAAAGTGAAGAAAAATGGGACAAATAGTAGAAGTAGTAGTAGTTGTAGAAATTGTTGAAGAGATAATTTATTTATCTCAATGGGCTATTTTTGGCAAAATTAGGGTAAAAATATTTATATATGTGAAAAAAAGAAAAGAAAAGGAAAGGGAGTGTGGGATTACAGGGGCGGCTCTAATAAATCGGTGGCCTAAAGCAAAATCCGAATGGAGGCCTTAAATTTGAATATATATTTTTTATGAAGTTTATTATAGTCAATTATTTGATCTTTCTTGAGACATAGTAGTCATAATTTGTCAAATTTCTATTACTTCTTTGTTCTTTTATAAAAAGCTTTTATTTTCTACAAATAATACTCGATATTTAAAAAAATAATACTTATAACCTTTTTTTTTTTTTTTAAATGAGGCCCCTTAAATTTTGGGGCCTAAGGCAATTGCTTTTTTTGCAAAGCTGTAGAGCCGCCCCTGTGTGGGAATTGAGAGTTATTAGAAAAAGAAAAGAAGAAAAATATATTTTAAATGGGGAAAGATTGAATTTATAGGGTTGAATTAAAGTTTATAAGTTTTGATAAGGACTTTAAATTAATATTATAATAATAACGAGGTTTGCAGTTCAAAATATGTAAATATTTAGTGAATTATATACGTATATGAATAAAAATTAATGAGTTCACGTAAATTTGTAATCAACTTAATTAGTAATCGTCAGAGTTGTTTTATGTGAATTTCTCAGGTGATTTTTTATCAATATCCTCAATCCTCGTGACTTTTAGTGAAGTTCTTGATACATAAACTAAATTAATATAGATTGATTAATTGATATTTAATAGATGTTGTATATTATTTTTGTTTAAGAAAAAACAATTTGTAGTAAATGTGGGACTTTTTTATATGAATTCAAATTTAATCGGGCTTCAATGTGGATAAGCAGAAACCGGGTGGGAAATCAATTATGTGTCCTATCATGAAAAATAAGCAATAAAATACAATTTGGATGAGTTGAATAAGGAAAAGTATTTCCAAAAATAAGGAAAATAATGATTTTTAACCTTATAATAATTTCACTTCTCATGATTATCTTATTAATTTTATTTATATAAATTATCATGAAATCAAAGGGTACTTTGTCATTAAATATTAGCAATAAATAGTCTTTACATATTTGAATCCTTTTAGAACCCAATTAGTATGTACTATGGCTAAATTATTAAATTCTACAAGGAAATGACTAAAAAGCCCTTCTTTTTGTTGGGCTGTCTGCTTCACACATGTCCATGGGTCCCACATGTTGAGTTGGTTACTGCTAAGCTTGATGACTTGGTCCTGTCAAAAGGCAGATACTTGAGTAAGTTGGTTGATATGGGCCTATTACTAAGCCCAATTTAGTAATTGGGCCTATTAATAGGCCCAACAATGAAATCGCGGTTAAATCCGGTCCAGTTTACGCTTGGCCCAACTCGTTGATCCGAGATAATAGGGGTGTGCATACTTTGGTAATGTCAAACAACCACCAAAATAGTCAACCTTGCATTATTCAACTCAATGTTGTAGTCAGGTCGGGAAACCTAAACTACAACAAGGGTGTTGTCTTGAGGTGAGTGAGTGAGATAGTCCGTAATCCTTCACCTCATGAGTTTAATCCAGGTCCAGTTTACGCTTGACTCAACTCGTTAATCCACGATAATAGGGGTGTGCATACTTTGGTAAATATTGAACTACTACCAAAATAGTCAACCTCGCATTATTCGACCCAAAGTTGTAGTCAGGTCAGGCAACCTATACTACAACAAGGGTGTTGTCTCGAGGTGAAAGAGCAGTCTGTAATCCTTCACCCCATGAGTCAATTGAATACTTGGGACCTTATAAGAATCATTTCATTTCATTACATTTTTACCTATGCAGTCAACATAATCATTGACACATACTAGTTTGATAATAAACAACCTAATTTGCAGCATAACTTCATACTGTATTTTACATTTGTTACAGGTTGCTTGACAAGCTAATTATCAGTGTCTTCTACAACCAAAATTTCTACACCAGAAGATGAAATGTTTGAATTCCGCGTCTCCAACAGAGTCCTGTTTGTATTTTGTTGTTGATCAAGTATCATCTTCAACTTCTTTGCTTGTTCTTCGATCCTCATTTGTAACGTTCGTTGTGTCTATATAACAACATGAGGAGAACATGATTCCGAAAGACTGGTTGGACATGTTATTTTGTTCTAGCAAAGTACAATGTTTAGTTAAGTATGTTAGAAATGACATACCTCTAGTTGCTCATGAAGACACCTTTGTACTTCTAGTTGCATTTTCAGTGCTTCCTTGATTTCTCTTCCACTGCAAACAAGTTGGACATCAACTAAAGTGATCGACGAATTGACTTGACATGGAGTTTAAGAAAAAAAAAGATTTTTGGATCTTGTGTCTTAAACTAAACATAGGAACAATGTATGAAAACGTCTTTTAATCTTGTCATCTAAAACATGTCATGTGAAAAGTTGAATCTAAAGAGTTGTCGAAAAAGGAAAGGAACATTCTTTTTGAAACGGACTAAAAAGGAAAACAAGACAGTATACGTTTTGTTCTCTATATCTGTCATAGCATCCGGGGTGTTTCTCTTTTCGGATTTCCCTGCAGATTCTGGATGCTTTGCATTCCGATATTTCTGTAAAAAGGGAAATAGTTATACAAGGAGAACATTTCATCTAGTAATCTGAAATGCACTTGTGGAATAAGTACCTGTAAATGGCTTTTAACATGATCAAGAGTTAAGCAATCTGAGTCCATCAGATTTAGTATTTGCTTGGGCGTAGCCTCTGAAAGACGAATGTAATGACTGTCAACAGCAAAACAATCGATTCTAGAGGAAGAAAGATAGTTTGGAATTTACTTACTGTCAGCTCCTCCAAGGCGATTTACACACTCAAGAAATCGATCGTGGAGATCTTCATTCCATCTGATTCTTGTCTTACTAGGCTTATGAGATACTCCAGAAGATGCAGAGTTATGACAAGTAAATGAAGGACTCGCGAATTGCTGCCTCGTATTTGCCAATTGAGAGCAACACAAATCATGAGATAGCTGTAGGACAAATATAAGAAGACTCAGAATAGTACGCAGTCAGACAGACATCTATCTCTATAACAATCATGTTTTTACAAGAACCAATCTTTCATATTATGTTATGACAAAGTAAGTGAAAGACTCGCGGATTGTTGCCTCATATTTGCCAATCGAGAGCAACACAAACCAAGAGAGAGTTGTGGGACAAATCTACGAAGACTCATAATGGTATACAGTCAGACATCTCTATAACAGTCATCCTCTATAACAACATTTCACTAAAACAACCATGTTTTCTGTGGAACCAATCTTATTATATGTTCTTTATAACAACATTTTGCTATAGAAGCCAAAACATATCAGAAGAAATTACGTTGTTATAGAAAGGTTTGACTAAATATTGAGATAGTACTCACACAATAATCTTGATTTCCATCAAAAGGCAATGAAGGATGCCTTCGATATGAACTATCGAATTCTCCCAGCAACTCATTTTTCAGATGCAACAAACTCTCTTTCTCTGCTTCTGATACATCAGAAAATGGACTAGTTGAGAATTCTGTCCTGATGAATGATGGCAGAGAAATCTCGTGTCGAAAATCTGCCTCACCTTTTGCTAATGAATCTTCCAAGATTCCATTTTTACATTGTTGAGGATCCAATGATGACATTTGAACATCACAATTCTTGATCAATTCAGAAGTATCATATTGATTATCATATTGTGTCAACCCGAGGCAACGTTCTGTAGCGAAAAATGCTGAAGAAGGGGAACCAATACAGTTGATTATGCTACTTGAAGATGAACTAACAACAGGCA